GACGGTTTTGCGTCACGGTGGGAAACAAAGACAGCCCCCCTCCTCCTCCAGCACGGTACCAATGCACCCCCTTGGTGAGTGAAGGGGACATGTGGGGCATACAGGAACTCGTTACATGGCCACAACAAAGAAAAAATAATGATAAAAAAACATCCTCGACAACGCAGCAATGTCCAAACAGCAACAGCAACAACACAGGACCAGTGGCCCACCGGCACGTGCAAGTGCCGTCACAATACCCAACGTCCTCACACATGCTAACCCCGTCGCAAATATATATATATATATATATAAAGAGCGCATTCTCTCTTCGTTGAGTCCCTTCCTCCTTCGAACAGTAAGAACCTCCCACGCAGTACCGTCCATGCGCTGACACCGTCTCCCGACCAGCGACTGCACAAAAAAGACCCAAATGCCTCAATGGGGTCTCCCATACGGGAAGTGACGAGAAAGTGTTTGCAAACCACATTAGGTGCACCGCATGGAGGAACCACGGGACCGACAAATCGATGATGCGGCACAGCTGTTCAGGGCACGGTTTGTAACTTCATCCATCACCATAAAGGGAAAGCTCATATATTGCAGAGGGCGTTCAATTCCCTGCCCCCACAACAGACGCCACACTGCTCTATCCTTTTACCTCCCACACTGTCCCCCCCTCCCTCCCTCCAAGGAGACAGTCAACAACCCCCCAGATGCCGTGAAAACAAAAATATATACAAAAAGGTGATCCGTTTATTTCCGCGAACAGTACAGAAAACGTGCATGGAGCATTAAAGCACCACAGGCTCGGGACAACCAACTCAGGGCGACAGCCATATAGACGGCCTGGAGACGCACGTGGAATTTCACATCACCCTCTGCGTCCACCATTCCACAAATGGCTTATCCCACCACCAGAAAAAAAAAATACGCACAGAAGAAAGTCGTTCGTTCAACGCCCAGCCGTAAGAGCCGACGTGTTTTTCTTCATTTGCCTGTTTGGCACGAGCAGCAAGAAGCAGCCACACAAACAGCACTGCAGGAGTCTGCACTCGATTGAGCCGTCTTAATTCTGCAAGAAAATCCAGTTGCAGACGCAGACACAAGACAC